TAACATCTGAAATTTCAATTGCCATCTTCAGATTTCAGTGTTAACCCTCTGGAACTATTGTGTGAGGCAGAGAACAATGAAAACATGAGGCACGTAAGCACCCTAACGGCAAGTGCCAGAATGTAACATTTTAAAAAAACCAACTCAGATTTTTGAAGCAAAATTCTCAGGCATGAAACTGATTCCACAGCCCTGGAATTCAGAGGGTCCTGGTGGTCTCCCCCCTGCTAGCAGAGAGGGGGAAGCTAACAGCAGGTGAATGACTGGCATGTTTACCTCGACACAGCTTTTGCCTGGGTCATATTTTTCTCAACGAATATTGGTATGAAAGGTCTCAAGAGAATACTTGCCCTCTGTAGTGCCCTGGTGCGTATCCTCTGAAAGACGGTCTGTGTCAGACCAGTATAGGATGCAGTTGAAAGCAGCGGTTTGACCATGAGAGGCCTGTTGTCTGTTCGTGTGTCTCTCCACCTGCCTGGTAGACCTTCCAGTGTGGCTATCCAGGAAGCTGCACCAGAGAAGAAAGAAAACTGCTCACTCCTTCCGACATGGCTTGTTTCCCCTGTGAAGCCCTTAATTTGCCCAATACATGCTTGTAGCTCAGGAACTCTCAATCTGGGGGTTGGGACCCCTCGGAGTCACAAGCTGTCAGCCCCCACCCCAAATGCCACTTTGTCTCCAGCATTTATAACTGTTAAATTAAAAGCACTTAATATACTTATGGGGGGGTCGTCACACTCAAAGGGTTGCTATGTGCAAAGGAGCCTGTGGCAAAGCTCCGGCCTTGATTCAGGGGGTCCTGTGCGTCTAGGCAGTTAGCCTCAGAGGCTGGCTGTGGTGCTCCATGTAGCCTCACCTTTACTAGGGGCAAGGGTCACAGCCTTCTGAGCCATCTGCCTCGCAAGCCAGTCAATGGGCTGGGGTGAAACCCTTCTGTAGTCCCAATCTCTCTTCTCAAGGGCAGACCGCAGTGGTGTGGGGAGGAACCCAAGCCCACCCCCTACATCAGATCCCCACGCAGGGGCCCCAAGGCTGTCGCAATAGGAAATGTTTCCTCCACTCCCAGAGTTGCAGCCTTTTCCCTGGGCCACTTCCCTAAGGGATCCCTCCTAGTACTTTCTTCCTGGAAAGATTGCTCAGGTACCGGCTCCTCCACAGTGCACTTCCTCGCTCCCAGCTCTTGCAGAAGGCTCCAGCAGGTTCTTAATGGGCTGCAGGTGTTTTGATTAGCCTGCCTCTCTCACTTGCTTCCGGAGTGCTCTTAATTGGCTCCAGGTGCCCTCCGACTTAATTGTGCTGCAGCAGCCCCTGCCCTGATCAATCAGGGAACAGAAACCTAGTCACTCAGCAGCCAGTAAATCTACCTTCTATCAGACTTTGGTAGCCAGCTGGTCCGGATCTGTACCAGTCTGTAGTGCAAAAGAACCACTGTTGTAGCTGGTTCTCTTCCTGCAGCCTATTACTGGATCCCGGCCCATTGATTTGGCTGAGAGAAGGTGAATCAATGACAGCCTAAGCCGGAAGTGAGATTTAGGCCACATGACCGAAAAGCCTCTTGCCTGCTGTGTCTTTAACCTGCCTTGTTTCTGCAAATACTTCTCTACAACCAGCGTTTCCAATGGGAATGCCCTGCAGGGATCTCAGGATGTGTTGAATATCCAAGCAGTCTTCTCTGGCATTGTCTTCCTTTGCGTGTGGAGCAGGAACTGACAGCACGTTAGCCCGGAAGTGATTTGTTGGCTAGGTAAGTGGCATAGGATGCTGGGCTTTGGGGAACACTGGCCCATCTTCTGTAAGGACAGGGAGCTGAGGCGCTACTGCCGGGAGCCTGGGTCACAGATTGGAAGTGCCTGTTCAGAGCATAAATGAGATGTTCTGAAAGCTGGTGGCATCAGTCACGCTCCTGGAATGTTAGTCCATGGTCGTAACCTGTTTAGGAAGGACCACATGGTCAAAAGCAGAGGGGGGAAGGAACCCTACCAAAAAGTGTTTGAGCCACTGTTAGTAAAGAAAATGCTCTTGAATGCTTATGGATCAACGTCCTCACCGAGCACAAGCAGGGGTGGTAGTTTGTGGTCTGAAGCAGAAACCAGTCACATTAAGCAATAAGGTGGCCACTTCCTTATGGAACATATAGTTGGGGACTATAACTGATGTGATTTGTGCTGCCCCTCTTAGGCTGTCAAGCCTTCTAGCCTTGGGATTGCTAAATAGTCTATCTATTTCCTAACCCAGAGTGCTGCAGGGACACAGGGGAGCTGTATAATAGAGCTCGTCCGAATAAAAAGCGGCACTAATCACAGAAGGAAAAGTTCATGGCTGCTTAGGGGCAAATGATCACGATTTAATCATATTTATAATGTTCAAGAAGAATACAGGCCAGGTCAGTAATATATATATATACACTTGCAAACTTGGTACTTTAATAGGGCCAGTTTTACAAAGATGAAAACAATTATGAGCCAAATCAGCGGGAGGAATAATGTAATCAGAAAAACGTGAATGGTAATTGGGAAACATTTATGAATGGTTTATTAGATGCCCTAAAAGCCATAGTCTGGGGGGCGGGGGTTGAATTATTTAACAGACTAGATGACTTATCTGGTGTTGCCTGGAGCAGAGGGGGGCTGTGCAGCCAACCTACTGGCTTCTTCCTGGGACTGGCTTGGGGGTGACGGGGATGCCGTACAGGCTGTCGGCCTGCTTCTCTCTGGGCCTGGGCTGGGAAAGGGGAGCATGGTGGCTGCTCTTCAGTTTCTACCAGGGGTAGGGCAGAGTTGGTGGCTGCTCCCTGGGAGCAGTCTGAGGCAGCAGGCACCATGATGCTGGCCAGTGTATGCTCCCCAGGGCTGAGATGCTTGCTGCTCTCTGCATGGCTTCCACACGCATTCCATTGCCTTGACACAACCACATCCTGATCTTGCTTTAAGTTAAGAGGACGTTGCTACATTTGGTGGCCACAGCTCTTGTTGTTTAGTTCTGGAACAAATGGACAGATGGGCATGCAAAGTTTCTAAAAGATACAGTAGATGGTAGAAATGTGAGCTTGATCGTACAGAATATAAAACAGGAATTGTAGATAAGCGATAAAAGGAAATCAAGGGCCACAAGGAGAAATGTATGGCCAGCTGTGTTAAGGACAAGGGAGTTTTAAAACAAAAGAATGCTGACAATGGTATCTGGTCCATTCGTACATGGAAATGATAGATTTATCCAGAAATGTTCAATATTTGTTCTGTAGTTGAAGACAGTTGATTTAGTCTAACGTAAACACTTTCCATTCTACCGGTTTCACAAGAGGGTGTTAATTTGAAGTGACTGAAGTTAAATAATGGGCTCCCCAAGCCAGCGGAGAAAGGTGTAACACCAACCCATGGCAGGAGGTTGAAGCCAGACAAATTCAGGCCAGCAATAAGGAAGAGAGTAATTAATCACTGGAACAATCTACCAAGGGTTGTGATGGATTCTTCATCACTGAACTTTTTTTTTTTTTAAATCAAGGTTGGGTGTTTTCTAAAATCTGCTCTAGGAAATATTTTGGGGAAGGTCTCTAGTTTGTTTGTATTCTACAGGGCTCAGACTATGATCTCAGTGGTTGCTCCTGGCCTCAGAATCTACGGCTGAGTCTAGACTACATCCCTTTTCTTGAAGGGAAAAAGGGACGTAAATTAGACACGTTGAAATTGCAAATGAAGCCAGGATTTAAATTTCCTGCACTTCATTTGAATAATGGCGGCCACATTTTTTTTTTTTATTTGAAATGGGGCTTTTTGAAAGAAAAACCGCTGCTCAGATGGGGATCACTCGAAAATAAAACCCTTTTCAAAAGATCCTGTATAGGATTTATTTTCAAATAATCCGCATCTAAACAGCCATTTTTCTTTCAAAGCCCTGTTTCGGAAAAAACCGCGGCTGCTGTTATGCAAATGAAGTGAGGGAAATTTAAATCCCAGCTTCATTTGCAATTTGGAAGTGTCTAATTTACGTCCCTTTTTCCCTTCAAGTCTAGACACGGCCTATTTGCCTTCCAAATGGCACAGGGTTAAAATGACAAGGCTGCACAATCCTAGTCATATCTTGCCTTTTAGCTGAGAGAGAACCATATGGCTGCCACCAGTTTTAATGGAGAATGGCTTGAAGGCGGTCCAAACTTCAGGCTCTGGGCGAGGTGTTGGCAGCTGCTGCTCTGTGCCGTTGCATTCCATAGTGCAACACTGTGACTCTGCCTCAGCATCCTCTGCTCATCTGTGGAGCTGAAACAAGCACCAGGTTGCCAGGGCAGCCTATCCTGGTGCTTGTTATACTAGGGCACATTATTAAACTTCACACCCTTCGATTTGTTCAGCCATCGATTTCCGGTGTGCTCTCTGCAACCTCTGCCTGATACTACATGGACGGCAGCACCTCCAACTGCACAGCTGGACATGTTACTGGCACGATGCTTCTGTACCAAGATGTCAGAGGAAGCATTGGGCTTGTGTGTGGGGAAGTGGTGTCTGTACTTCCCCCCGCTGAGTATCATCTTTCACAGTTTACTTGGGTTAGATCAACAATCGGTTTAGTCTTGGGCAATGTACACGAGCCTTTTGTAATCAATAGAATTTTAATTTAAATACAGTACTTTTAAGCACAACACAAAAGCCGGCCGTAGACCCTGACATCCACTCACTGCACTCACATTCAAAAGCAAATTCACTTTAGCTCTTCATGTACGTGATTTTATGTGGGCAGGTGCTTCGTAGAACAAAACATGTTTGAAAAGTCTCTGTGCGCTCTCTATTCAGCAATCCTCTAACAGACTTCCCGGCTGTCAACAGCCAGTGCAGGGATGCCAAGTGGAACACCTGAGTTAAAGTAACATCCAAGTGACAGAACACAATGACTGGAGGAGACAAATATTGTTAGTGCATCTGACCGCAACGGGAGTAGTTAATATTACTGTTTCCTCTCTATTCTCAGAACCCAATTCTCTGACCAAGTGGGTGTGTAATACACTGCTGTGCTTAATGTCAATCAACGCAAGTGTTGCCAAGGTTGGTGCCTTAGTTTCTGCTCCTGTTTATGAGAGTCTCTTACACAATACCAGGAGAAAAAATATTTTAAAGCAAAAAATTGTCACCTCCGGTGAAGGCCACATGAAATACCCAAAAGGACTTAACTTCAAATTTAGGCAGTTTTTACAAGGAAATAATCGGCTGCCCTTTAACTTAAAATTCACAGGGATAATCGTGCACTGCTCAGTGAACTCTGTGAAATGAGTCTGCAAAGCTGAAATGTACCAGTTCTAGCTATGAGCACTGAGCACATTCCAGACTTACACTGGTGGTTCAGCTCCGGTGTAAACCCCCTGCATCACTCTGGCTCTCACCACCTGGGCAGATGGCTGGTTCGCTCATCCAGTGTCACTGATACAGCCTAGAGCATGGTAAGATCAATGGGTTCTTCAGGCCAAGCCCTGAGAAACGGGCATGTGAAATAACCCGGGACGCGCCCAACCATTCTGCCTCTGAACTTTCAGCCTTTTGCTTTGCCGAGCCTTTCTTTAAAACTTCTCCCTGCATATGGAGGTAGTGTCACTCACCTGTGCTCCTGCCTGCCTTTGGGCCCCCCCGGCTTCTCACAGACACTGAGTCCTGACACTTGTTTCTATTCTTAGCCTTGGCAGGCGCTCACTTCCCGCTCTGCATATAACCATCTGCCCAGAGCAACCCTTTCCATTTCCAGTGACTTCTGCACACCCTCCCCTCCCCACTCCTAACCTGCACTGTGCCTAGCTGTCTTCTGTAATTATGCCAGGAGAAGGCTAAGCAGGACTATTGCAAAATGCCAGGTGGCTGCCTGCTGTATCTTGGCCCCACTCCTGAGTTCTGAAACTGGTCTTGACGCACAAGGGACGGAGTGGGAGGGCAGGGGCTTTCCAGCAATTGTGTTTTAACCGAAAATTCCCAAAGAAACTCTGTATCACATCTCCTCTTACCACCCAGTAATTAGAACCATCCACCTCTCCTCGGGACCAGTGTGACGTAATCCACATTCCCCCACGGTTTTCTTCTTGGCTGTTGACTATCAAACATATCTGCCTTGGCACATGCCCAAGGTATCATGCTTGAAGGATATAAAACAGGTACTTTCTCTCTCCACGGCCAAATGCCTCATTTCCCTGAAATGTGAAAGCTGCATTCTAAGAGGCAACAGCAAGCTGGCTGGTTTCCTGGAGCTGCTGGTTTCCAGTGTGATTTGATGCTGGCTTGTAATCTGAACACAGGAAAACCCTCAGCTATCATTCAGTTCTTGGGGAAAAAACAGCTCTCTGCTGCCAGCGACAAGCCAGCTGGATGGAAGAGGGAGTCCTGACAGCGAGGGAAGTCAGAGGACTTAGAAAGATCACTTGTGAAATTAAGGTTGCTTCGCATATTTCTCGCCTTAGAATTCTGTTCCTGAGCATTTGTTTGAAGTTGTTACATGTGCACTGGGATGTTATCTTTGCAAAGCCCCAATCCCGTGGCTAATACGCTGGAAGGTTACCGTACCAATGCCTGCCACAAATCCAGGCTCTTCAGTGCAGGTTGCAGCCTGGAAATTCTGAATCTCAAAGGACACGCTTATTTCACCTCTGATATTTATGACTGACTGCAATATTTCGATCAAGCCCCTTTAGCTCTATCAACGTTCCTTATAAACTCAGATCCCTCTGTGCTAGGCATATTCAGAGCAGACTTTAGAATACGATCAGTTTCTGGAGCACATGATCTAAACTGTACATTCTACAAGGTCACCTATGGCTTAAGCTGGTATACTCCTGTGCAGCGCACATGTGGGACAGGAGAGACCTGGCCGTAGCAGCTGTACAGGGATCCAGTTGATGGCTCTGATCTATGTGGCTCAGGAAATGGTGAGGCTAACAAGTACCTAAACCCAACCACCACAAGCTGGAGAGATTTTGCAGCTGGCTCAGAGGGGAAATCAGTTCTGTAGCTGCATCTGAATGGGAGAACTGTGCTACTGCATACATTGTAGCAGTGGGGAGACTCACACACATCCCACCTCCCACTGGGCTAAGACCCTCTCAGTAGCTGGCACCAATGTCAAATCAATACAGCACGTGATGTCAAATTTGAGTGGAAGTTTTTTTTGCAGATGAGCCCTTCGCATAAGTCACGTATTGTCCATCTCTTAGCGCCTCCTGATAACAGATTTGCACTGTTAGAAGAAGACCCAGAATGGCTGTAGCTACTTCCTTGGTTCTTCTGAAAATATAAACCAGTGTGGCTCTAAGGAGATTTTCATTCAACATCTGCCCGGTTATTTTACTGCAGCAAACAGCTGTTCCCCTGCGTTTCCTCCCTCCCTCCTTAAAACACTTCTCGTGCAGCTTTGGAACATCTCTTTTCAGAGCCTTTGATGGTTTCAATCTGTTTTCCTTGCTGCGTCACTTTGCCAGCAGCACACAAGTGCCTTTAATGAGAGGAACTAGTCTGAACAGCACAGACACCTGCTGCTGCAGTGTACATTTGAAGCCGACAGAATTACTGCTTCAAAGCACCTGTTTCCTATTGTAAAGGATGCCACCTAAGACAACAGAGCCTCCGGCTTCCAAGCAGATCGCTACAGATTTCTCCTTTACTTACATTTATCTAAAATATGCTAATCCTACACGCCAAACCTTACCCTAACTACCTCCCTTGCTGCAGGGCTATCTAAGGTGGAGAAATAGTGAGCACTTGCTTCTGTGACTAGTCACTGTTCATCCCAGAGGACTAATGAGCTGTCGTTCTTTGCAGCGCAGACTCTGTGCCAGGACAGGTTAAATAGAGCTGAAGTTGGGCTCGCATGCTTTGGATACACTTGGATTTTAGTACCAGGATTTCGTCCAGTTTGATCACGTAGCTTGCAAAGTCCTAGGGTGGAAAACAAGATGGACAAGATGAATGCTGGCTGGCGGAGGGGGAACACATAGCATGCACAGAGTGAGTGGCAAGGAAAAGAGCTGCTCCTCGGAGGCAGTAAACACCATGGTTTGCATTCTGCTCCCAGGTTCCCCAATACATTCAATAGTCGCTTGTTAAAGGCTTGACCTTGAAAACCAGCACAGCTCTTTTTGCAAGTCTCAGGGCCGCAGCTACTGATGTTTAATGGCTTCTTCACTGTCGGCCACGCTACTGCTCCCCTTGTACTTTTTTCTTTCAGCCTAGTTATTCCTGGCCAAGAGGGCTAGAAGACTGATCGGGCTGGTAACAGTCCCAATTACTGTATTTACTGGGTGCCAAATACAGTAGTAGGAAAAGTACAATTAGAGTGGGCTCTGTTCTTGCCATTCTCCAGTTCAACAATCCCACCCTCGTGTCTCCAATCTACAGGAAAGAGGCAATGCCAGGCCATTCCTATCCCTGCGCCCCACGCCTGACCAGGTGGGGATCGGCACTGCGACAGCCTCCGCTGCCCATTCAATCTTAGGCCCCCTCGGTTGGGCTTGGTCATGTGATTTTGGGGGGCAGGGGAGGTGGTGGGGTGGGCTGCTGCCAGGAGTTCCTCTATACTGTGAGCTGAACGGAATCCACTGGGGCATGTTAGGAACTTGTGGGCTTGGTAAGGAAGCTCGGACTCAATCCCAACTGACACTTGGTGGTCCTGTGGGTAAGACAGTGGGTGGGGGATAGGCCCATGCCTTTTAAAAACACAAGCCCAAGCATCCAGGAAAGCTTGTGCCCTGACGCCACGCCAGGCAGACACGGGCCTTGTGATCACACCACCAGTGCGGGTCTCGGCAAATTTGGGGTGCGCTAGCTGAGAGGTTGACGTGTGCAAGCAGACATCATGCGTCTGCAGGGTGGGGACTGTCTGTGCTATTCACTGTCATCTGAGCCACGCTGGCTGCAGGGGGACGTAGCGTTTTGAATGCTGCGATATCCCTGCAGACTGGTGAGAGAGAGGAAAAAGATGTTCACAGTCAATGTGTCATTCTCAGTCTCTAGCCAAGTATCAGGCAGAGTGGAGATCAGCCAAGGCACAACAAGCCTTGGAACTGAGCAGTCTCCTAGCAATCGGACTCGGGAACAGATCAAGTTAGGCTCCAAAAGGGGAAGAAGGCTGTGGACAGGAATAGATGGTAGGATGCCACTAGTTCAGAATAATGCTCTTTAGGGTTCTTACTGACGTTCAGCGGGCACTGAGGTCACCACTGCAAACACTTACTGCTGCTGACATCTGATTGATCAGGGTCTCTTCCTTGAAACACAGGGATGCCATTTCATCCAGCTGCTCTCGATGGGCCTGAATCACAACCTGCCTAATTAACAAAAAGAGCAGCGGTTACATAGCCCTCCATTCCGCCTGCCCCGGTTACTGGTGAGCTCTGACACTTCTAAGGGGAGGGCCTCAGCTGGGAGAGCCCTGCCACTGAACATACTCGACAGGGTCTTCATGTTGCATACACAGATGTTGCTCTGTTGACTCCAATGGCCTATTGCTAATTTACAGCCTCTGTCTGCGGCGAGCCCGGGCCTGCTTCTTCGCAGCTGCTTCCCCTGCCTCTCCCCCACCCGGCACTGCTGCTTCTAACAGAGGCAGCAGCATCGGGGAGGGAGGTGGCACCAGCTCTTGCCTACCCCTCCCGTTGCCTCTGTAGGAGGCAGCAAGGAGGGGAGAGGAAGGTCCTTGGAGCTGGCATGTGCAGAGAATCGGCTCCTGCCTGCCCCCCCACCCTCTGTGTTGCTTCCTCTCTATTAGCAAGGGAGTGGGGGAGGGGGAAAAGGCGGATCTGGTGCTTGTGGAGAGCCGGCTTAAAGCCAGCTGCCGATGGCTCCCGCTAGCTGTGATTCTGGCCAATGGGAGCAGCAGGGAGGCTCCTGCACTGCCATTCCCCCGGCCAGGGAGAGGGGCATCGGCAGCACACAGAGCTGCTCCCTTCTCCCACAAGCTAGATCCGGGCCGTGAGGCTCCCTCCCCCACCTGCACCGGGAAGCTGGCACTGGTGTGCTAACCGTGCGGTGGGGAAGCGGAGCTGGTGCACCAGTGCCCGCTGTGGGGGAGGAGGGTGAGCCCACGGCCCACCAACAAGTCGCAGATCACACTGAGATCCACTGCTCTGAATGCGTCTTTTTGTCAGTAAGCACTGCTGCTGTCTGAAATGGTGCATCACATCCAGTGCATCTGGGTCCATAGCTGTTAGCTCAGTGTTTCTCACCTTTTTTTATACAGTACCCCTTTAAAAAAATATATAAGTACCCCCAGTACCTACAGTTTTCAGATGCCCACAATTTCTCTCTACCATTGCAACACATTTGTTTAAACAACTTAATCGTAGCCAGGTGGGCGATGAAATTTTTGGGTGTAAAAAGTACAAAAATAATAAAGCGCTGTAAAACTTAAAACAAAAATTCAATTTTCTCCAAATTTCAGTTGTGTTGACTTACTCCCCAGACGTCTCTCGAATACTCTTAGTACTCGTACCACTGGTTGAGAAACACTGTGTTAGCTAATGGGAGGGCAATGGTTAGCTTGATTTTATGCATCTGATTTCACTATCTGGTTAGCTGGGCTGGCTGTTTCCTATTTGTTACCTGTGGGATGTAGTAGTTATTTAACAACTTCTCTATATATTTGATTCCAAAAAAGTGTGTGTGTGTTTATATAGTACATATAGCACTATCTAAAAACAGTAAAACAAAGGTACAATGTGTTTGTTCCCTGTCTCTAATCTACATGGCGTAAGATAGAGTAGTAGATACAAACTTACTGTGCCTTTCCCAGGTCTTCTCTGTGCTGGTTCGATGTTTCCGACAGATTGATCTGAGCACTAATGATGGATGGATTTGGGCAAGAGGTCTGATTTGCTAATGATCTGATCTCTTTGGTAACGGATCTTGAAGCGTGTTCTGCAGCATCAGAATGGTCTTGTGTAAAAATACTTTGCATCAGTTTATTCTTCAGCTGCCCTATTTCCTCGCCACTGAATGACAACTTGAAGGTACCTTCTGAATGGTTAAAGCCCTGGGTCTTGAATTCTGATCTGGACTGCAGCGGGCTGCTTTCTCTAGAGGGGGAGGAGGTTATACTCTCCCCTCTTCCTGCATTCAGAATAGATGGCGCACATGAAAAATAAACCTTTTCAAGCAAATCTGCATGTGCAGTCTGAGACATGGGCACAGCATTGGGTCCTTTACTCGTGCTAGATTTTTCTGGGCCATTCAACAGGCTGTCAGTGGTATTCTCAGCATCCGCATCGTAATGCCTGCTGTTATCTAAGGATTCTCTGCACTTGACGTTACGAAGAAACAATCCATCTTTCTCTCCACCGGCACACCTGGCAGATGCTTCTGTCAAGTGTTCATCTCCAACCAATAAACCTTTCATAGAATTTTGTGCATTCCAGGGAGATGAACTTCCAAGGTTACACGAAGGCTTTGCACCCCGACAGGCTTGGGAGAGCCGCTTGTTCTCAGTTTGTGGGGTGTGCTGCAGAGAGGACTTTGTTTCACATGGGTAGATTTGTTCACCCAGCTCAGGCATACTGCCCATTGGTGAGGCTTTATTTTTAAGAAACTGCCTGGCCTCTCCCTCTAATCTTTTGTTGGGACTACAGCTTTTCCTTTCCAACATCGGTTTCACTTGGAGAGCCTTTTCCTGCTCAGAAAGGATGTTCTCTGGATCTGCTGCCTCCTCATTGTCAAGGAGAGACATGGTCAGAGGGGCCATCTGTTCAGAAGCGAATTCGGAGGAAATATTAGAAGCTCCACCAGGGCTAGATCCATTTTTTAGTTTCTTTCCTTCTAGGTTTCCTGACTCTGGTGTTAATCCATCTTTGATGGATTCTTCCCTTTGTGCATGTGGAAGGCTGATCTTGTTGTATTTTGTAGTCCCTGAATCCAATATGCAGGGAACATGTGTACTGTGTGTCCTCTTATCTGGGAACGAGGAGCTTTCACCAGGAGAAATTAGATGTCTGTTTTCAGATTTGTATCGTTTAGCATCAGCTGGTAAATCTATGCTGTTTTTCCAGTTATGAACAACATCTTCCTGCAAGCAACAAGGTTTTTCTGCAGTATTATTGTTTACAAAAGTATCAATAGTGAAGTCCTCTTCTGTGCTCCAGTTGGGTTGGGTCTTACTGCTCTCTCCATCTAGAACAGACTCCCCCAGTTCTGGAAATGCAGAGTCCCTCCCATAGTCCCAGCTGTCATTCAGTCCATGCTCTTGTGTACGTGTTGCATGTTCAAAAAATAAACCCTGTCTCTCTTGGCTCCTCTCCTCCTCACTTCCTTCTTCCCGCTGATGAAGGAAAAATGAAAGTTGGTTACTCTCATTGGTGTTTCTTTTAACCTTCCTTTGGTTGGATATAGGGGAGAAAGAGTCTTCACTGAAATCACTGTCGTCCAGTTCTTCCAGCAGCATTCCCTCTTTGCATTGAGAGTCAGTGGGAGGGAGGCTTTGCTCTTGCTTAACTCTAATTTCTTGGGGTTTGTATTGGGCTAAAAACTTCTCAAGTGGCTGATAGGTCAACTTCTGTTGTAGAATAGGTGGCTGTTGAAACTGCTGGTGATAAAGGCGCAAATGTTGTTCCCTTTCTTTCTGATGTGGCGGGAGATTTGCCCAGGTTTCAATGCACTGTTTAGTAAAAACATTTGCACAGCGCTGACTGCCATCTGATGGATGATTTCCATCTCCAAAGGAAAAGCCGTCTTTGGAAATGAGCTGCTTTTGGACAGGTTGCACCGTCTGTACCTTCAGGCATCTGACAGCCTGTTTGTTTGGAATACAATGGTCTCCTTGGCCACTTTCTTTTGTTTCTGAGACTGCAGAAGTTGTGGCAACAAAATCTCTTGTGGTATGATGCTTTTCAGATGGTACTGTCAGCTCATCAGTCTTTTTCTTCATGGGATGCCCTGTCTTTAGCATTCCTTTAATCGGACTGCTGTGGCTGAGCCATGGTGAGCTCAGATTTCCTTTGTGGGTATGACCCTTGGCTCCTTTTGGTGTAGAGGAAAATGGGACATTGGTTGGATGGAACACTGAAGGGGATGCCTTTATTCTCAAAGAACTTAAAGGATGATGGAGCCCTAGTTTTACTTTTTTTGGAGAGCTCTTATCTCCTGCCTGCACGGAAGGAGAGTTTTGGATGCGTTTTGGAGATACATTTCCAGCTATCCGACGTCTGTTTGTGACAGGAGTACAACATTTAATCCCTTTCTTCAGTTCTTTTACCCTGAAAATAAGGACTGTGCATTAGAAAATTAAATGCTTTCTAATGATTTACAACCTCATGAAAGTAAATTAATATATTGGTACATTAAGTTATTGACTTCCATGTCACAATTTGGCTTTGAATTGCTGGCTAATTCATGGAGGAATCGCATCATCTGCTACTGAAATGCAGTTACATCTGTGGAGATTTGTAGCAGCAGTTTGAATGGGGAATGACAGCAATACACAACAGTTAGGAAGTGAAGAATACTGACACAATTTCCTTCCGTTTTAATTGATCTGCTTCTTCTCTCCTCCAAATCCCTCCTCAAGACCCACCTCTATCTTGATGTCTATTGGAAATTAATCAACTAACAAGGCATTTAGTGGTATCTGACATTAAGAACATTTTTGATTCTCTTATCTTTCCCCTCCACCCTCTTCTGTGTTGCTTACATTCAGAGTCCTTGCCCTGTAGAGTTCAAAATCCATCTTCCTCTGCATAGGGACAGCATCTAACACATTCTGGGAAGTACCATAATACAAATAACACTGGAGTTTGTCAAGGATGTTGGGTTGTCAACCTTACCATTATGAGGAGTACCCTGAGATTTTAATTACTACAAGCTGTTAGGACACAAATTATCTGAAAGAAGAATTTAAAAGATACAGAGAATCAGATGCCCCAATATAATAGCAGAGCAGATGAAGGGTATATAAGTGCATTGTACATTGAATATTTGTGTTTAGTCCTTAGAGCTCACCACTTCTGATACAATCCCAATATTGTTCATACCAAACCAATTATCCATTACTCTTTTGACACTTGATCTGGAAAATTTAAGTCCCTTACCTGTCAGCGTATCGTAACGTGTTCAGAGTGTGTTCCGTAGCTATGTGGCTAGGTGACACATTAGCGATCATACACGTCTTAGAATTTCCAATGAAAGAATCTTTTAGTACCTTGGAGGAGGAGGAGAAATGTAGCTTAAGATTCTTAGCAATTAATGTATTTCTTTTAAACAATCTAGTTGAATAGCTTAGAACCAAGTGCCCCTCGCTTCTCCAGCCTGAACAACTTGTCTCCATTTTAAATCTTACATGACAAATCACGATAAATTCAAATGTTGAATCTGTCCTTTAAACAAGCCCATTTTCTTACTGGGTAGCCCAAAAGTGCATGGGTGTTTACAAAAATAAAGCACATGTTACAACTGGAGTATCACAATATGGACAAAAGCTTGAATGATAGTTACCACAAAGAAGTCACTAGACTATCTCTTTAAGTGGTTGTCCGCCATATGAACATCTCAGAAGGAGTAGATCTACAAGAGTGTCCATATAGAACTTCATGCAGAAATAAAATAACTTTAACCTGGAGTTTAGGAAACTCTCCCCCACACTGTTCCCCAAAAAGTAAATGCCTATAGCTTTTGTTGTCAGCTGCAGTAATGCTGCTTCCTCTATGATCAGAATGAATGCTTGGGAAGCTATGGACGTGTCCAATCTGTAAGGGGTTAACAATACACAGTTGCAGAGTCATGGCTTATTTCATTTCAGCTCTGTTCAGTGCAGTGTCAACCACTGGCTTGGTTTTTTGTTTTACCTGAGTTAATTTGCTTTGCCTGAAAGGAGTATGAGCATGTTCCTGATCCAGAGCTCGAATACATTCTTTTAGCTACAAACGAGAGAGAGAAAGTGTATCAGTCACACAATAAAAGGAGAGTTTGAACTTGCACCCAAAACAAACCTATGAGCATTCCCCATTTCCCCATCTGGCAATAGCACCTATCATCCTGCTATCCTTAGAACAGACAGCAGAATGCTTTTCCTTATGCTAAGGAGTGTTGCCAGTTTCTGGAGAGCCACAGTTAAACATATGCACAGTAACACTTGCAGTCTCAAAGTCTGAGTGATTATTTTGCCATCTCATAAGAAGATAGTCACCCTTGGACAGCTTCATAATGGACACACATAAAACATTAGGGCTACATTTTCAACACAGGATGAACTGGAGCTATAAAATTCCCATTAAAATTAAAGCGACAGGAGCAGATAAATGCAAGTGTGCCTTCCTGCAAAATATACCCACCATCTATTTTCGCATTAATAATCAACAGCAAGAACAGCACGTAATCTTGGAGAAACATCTGCCTCTTGATTTATTAGTTGCCTATTAAAAGACTGACATTTTCAAATGTCTGTGTCTTTTTACCATGCACCAGCACAATCTGAAGAGTGTCACAATCCGTACCGGAGTGATACTTTCTCCAATGGAGGAAATGGACTATGTGCCCATTGAGGCAAGCCATTACGAGCGCAAGGAGGGAGAGGAGAAAATATCTTTAGATTACAATACAATGGTAGTAATTCTAGCTTGAAACAGGCATTGCATTCTTAATGAGACACTATCCATTTCAAAACACTTTTTTTTCTGAATGTATTTTAATTAGTATTAGAAATTACACCTAAGAGGACTAACTGAAAGAGATTATATATTTGTTTTAGGGTTTTATAATGCTGACCATGACTATTATCTGAGCATTTCCACATGAAATCAACGTCAAAGTCTCTAGTGAATGTCATAGATTTTAAAGCCAAAAGAGAACTTTACAATCGCCAAGCCTAAGTTTCTATCAGTATAGGCCAGAGTTTCTGCATGGAGCCCACAAACTTCTGTGTAAGCTATAATGTATCTTTTGACAAGATACATAGCCTTGATTTAAAGAGTTCACGGGATGGAGAATCTATCCCGGCCCTGAGTACGTTGTTAGTGGTAAGTTACTGATACATAGCCTTGATTTAAAGAGTTCACGGGATGGAGAATCTATCCCGACCCTGAGTACGTTGTTAGTGGTAAATTAAACTTAAAGATCTATAGTATTTCTCCCTTTTTTGAGGAAAAAACTCTTCTTCAGGGTAGGGTTCAATGGGAGACCCCTGTGATCACATTTTGAAGGGAAGATTCAAGAAAAAAAAAATCACTTTTCAAGTTATGCTCTAATTGTGTTGTAGTGAACGAAGTACTTAATCAGTTTCACTCTGTCTTGTATAGTCACAAATTTCCTCTAATTTGTGTGGGTTATTCACACAGCAGGAGAAAGAGAAAAATCTGACTCTAAAACCACAGAAGTAGAAAGGTGGGCTTTACTTCTTTTAACAGACTTCTTTTTGAAACTCACTAATATCAAGTTGATTATCTCTTTAAACACTTGTTTCAATGAGCTTATAAATGTCTTCATAATATTTCCTTTCAGCATGAGAAGTCTCATGCTTTTTCCTTAGCTAAAAGGGACATTTTCTAGAAAGAATGATAACAATTCATTCAGATTTTTTGGAATTACCATAGAACCTCAGTTACAAATGCTTCAGAGGCTGGGAATTACCATAGAACCTCAGTTACAAAGGCTTCAGAGGCTGTTTGTAACACCGAATAAAACATTATGGTTGATCTTTCAAAAGTTTACAACTGAACACTGACATAATACAGCTTTGAAAAGTTAATATACACAAGAAAACCGTTACTTTCCCTTTTTTAGTAGTTTTATACAGTACTGTACTAGCTTCCACTCCCTCATCTCTCCACTTTTTGTCTCTGTTGCTGCTGGATTATGTACTTCCAATTCCAAATGAGGTGTGTTGCTAACTGATCAGTTTATAAGTCTGAGGTTCTACTGTATGAGATCAGAGGCAGTCAGGGGAATGGTTTTCATCCTCTCACTTTTCAAGGGCATAATTTTGCATTCAAATGTCAAAATAAATGTGTTGTACACAAATATTACAATAGGGTCCACCACATAAAAATCACGTATCAGTGTGAAATGTAAAATATTTACCTGCATATATGATTCAAGTGGATGGAAATAAGGTTGTTTTAGGACTCCTGGATCTAAATTGTATGATTTATTTGTCCTTTAACATTTTTGTGGTATATTAGTGCACAATGGTTCCACCCACTTGTTCTTAGGTATTAGATGGTGTTTATATGCACACAATTAAGAGTTGAGAACATCACCATAATAATAAATGATAAATACGCTTCAATTTTAAGTAGTGGATCTTAGTGTTTTTGCAAACCTGTATTAAGTCTCACAGAAAAAGAGAATATTAATCTGCTATAGAAAATATGACACGGACTTCTTATACAGTATCTGATTTTTCAGTGCTATATTTATCTGGCTGTAAGAATATGTTTTAAAAGTTATTTTTCCTCACGAAGTCTTTTTCTTCTGATCTGACTCACGACTAGAGAGCAATTTAATTGTCAACATTTAATATCGTGTTCTTTTCCACTGGGATCCATCCATAGGTTACTTGTTTTCTGTCAGTCTAAGAACCAGGCTAAAGAACAATAATTACTAAAACCTTCCCTACAAATGTGAGTAACCTACAGCTAAAAGGCTTTGGTTTATTTCTGCTCCTTCCATTTTTGTTTGTTTGTCTGAGTCTCTGGCATCAGCTGCCCTCTCGCTGCCAGCCAGGTCAATGAAAGAGATCCTAGAAAAAACAAAAGATGCTTTTACTTTAGATTTTTTAAAGCTGGTAGCAACAACACACTACCATAAAGAAGGGTGAAATGCCCACTGTTAGTGTCTCAGAAGCATCCCATTAATGAAATACCAGCAGCTACTGGAACAGAGTCAGAGCATTCTGGCACTGTAACAAGCAGTCATAACAAGAAGTCTAATTACTTGTGATGAGAGTGCTCCACAGTTTAATGGAATACCTATTTCAAGTGTACTGCATTCACATCTCTAGATGATCACAATGCCAGCAATTTGAGAGAGAACACAGATCACTTAAAAAAAGAATAACTTTTTGGGTCTCCTTCCTGCTAAGACAGATGATTCATTCCAATGTTGTCTGTCCTAATCAGACAGAAATGCAGTGTAGTGTATAAAATGTATTCAAAGGGAAGCAACAGATGCCATGAACTGTCAGATGGCTTCCTGCTAGTCTTTTTTCCCCTCAAGATCTCCATTTGTTCTCCTATTCTTCCCCAACTTTCCTCTTTGGATGCTAGCTATTCTACCAATCTGTCATTTCTCCCTCTCCCTTCCATAATTTCCCCATCTTCTCCCACAATCACATGAATCCATCCTTTCTCTCACCCCAGTTTCATCACTCTTTCAACAACTAAAAACATGACACACCTACATAACCACCTGTCCTGTATTTGTAACCTTATGCACTCATCCTCTTTCCTTCCTTCCCTACCTTCCCATTATCAGTTATTTAGATTTGCTGTCTTGCCTTAAAATTAGAATAAGCTTTTTGGGATAAAGATTGTATTTTATTTGTTTGGAAGGTGACTACTACATGTTTAAGCAGCAAGGAGTCCTGTAGCACCTTACAGACTAACCGAAGTGTTGGAGCATAAGCTTTCGTGGGCAAAGACCCACTTTGTCAGATGCATGTAGTGGAACTTTCCAGAGGCAGGTATAAATATGCAGGCCAGAATCAGGCTGGAAATGACGAGGTGGATCCAATCAGGGAGGATGAGGCCCACTTCTAGCAGCTGATCTGGAAGTGTGACCACCAAGAGAGGAGAAACTGTTTTTGTAATTCGTGGAATGAGATGTAACTGTTAACTCGAACTAAGGACTTAGGTCATCTCCAGCCTGATTCTGGCCTGCATATTTATACCTGCCTCTGGAAATTTCCACTACATGCATCTGACGAAGTGGGTCTTTGCCCACGAAAGCTTATGCTCCAACACTTCAGTTAGTCTATAAGTTGCCACAGGACTCCTCGCCGCTTTTGCAGATTTAGACTAACACAGCTACCCCTCTGATACTTACTACATGTTTAGACATCCAGACATAACAGGCAGTTGATCATCTTTTCTTTGACTAGGTGAGAGGGATACCCGTTTATTGTTGCAACCAGAGGCCAATCTGTAATGGCCCACAACCTAGGAGCTCAGCAACCACTCTTTCAAGTCACAGTTTGCATCCTGACAGTCCTTGCACTCGACTTCTTCACTATCACTCACTAAGTAGCTATGGCTGTCCTGTCATTGCAGATGTGCCTGGTTTCATTTAAAGCTAAAAGAATGAAATTGAAATGTCTCTATCAAAGCCAATATTTCAGCTTCCAAGCTCACCTCCCAAACATTCTGTTTGCAGTGTCTTTAATCTGAATCTGGATGATAGCATGAGAACGGGAGGAATCTGAGTTGACTCCAGTCGCCCCAGTGCTACGTTCCTTCCCACCCTTCAAAATTACCTGAAAAACAATCAGGACAAAACAAAGGTAAATTATACAGACAATACATGCACCGTCTTCGTATACAGTGTATTGGTTCAGAACCCCATATAATGGTACTGAGCGTGGCTGACAAAATGTTTATAAAGTGAGATTATCACAGCTAAGACTGTCAGTGAATTGAACTTTCATTCCTATTTGTTAAATTACTACAATACAAAATCAAGTGGGATAAACGCATGGTAGAAATGAAAACAACAAACTGAGGCTTCAGAAGTTACCCCTGAGAATTTGTGAGCTGGATGATATTTTTTAAAATTCATGTTCTAATCTCATTGAAAGGTGTAGTCAGCCAAAAACCTAAAAGTCATGTAATGTAGTGTGACCCCGGTCTGGGACTGGCCAGCTCTTTAAACGGGGGAGACCTCAAGTTTCCCTCCACTCTGATTCGTATGTTGCCTGTTCCCCTTTATCACCTGGCCCGAAGCTGCTATGATGGGAGAGGGCTTGGGTAGTCCCCTCTCCAGGACAACCTGCACCCTGACCCCCTCAACCCCGCCCCCGAGCAATGATTTCAATGAAGCAGGGACATTTGCATTTTATTTTCCAAAAAAACAAAAATTAATTGAATTAAGGACCCGAGCAATGCCAGGTAAATCTTCTAGTATAAATATACAGTACTGCCTTCTACGAGAGAGCCACTCTAAATCAGCAATCTGGCTGGCTGCTGTAGCTCCTGAATATCTGTTAAACCAGAACTAAATGCAGGACAGTTTGTGAACAGAGGACAGTGCATCAGTAAGTATCAAACAATCCTGAGGTGTGCATTGAAGTCTCTAATACATTGGTAGCATGCGACTCAAAACTATCAAATCAGTCTAAAGGCTCTGTGTTCAAAAGAGCCTATAGACAATACAAAATTAGCTGTTTTGGAAAGACACCGTTGAACAAAAGCAGGTAATAACTCTTCCGGATGCAGGATATGATGATATAGAGGAATATATTTATCAGCTATACACCAGATCTGCACTCACATTTGCAGAAATGTCTCCAGCAAACCTTGTGCTCAGAGTAAATGGAAAAACAAAACCCCAGAAGACAGTGTCTGAGTGATATTTAAATGGGTAGTACTGTCCCAAGTTTTAAACAATAAGACAACTACAATATCAGGTACAGATCTAGTTTTCAGTTCCTTACAGAGAAAAAATGAAACACAAATCCCATAGGCAACTGGATTCAGCCTCAGCTTGCTCAGTACACGACACCATAGAGAACTAGCTTGTACCCATGTCTTACTCAGCTGAGTAAAGAAGAAAGACTGACGCGCTGTTTGTGCTGAGCATCAGCTGTTTATCAACAGAAAAAAGGTACCTTTAAAAAGCAGCAGCCAGCCCAGTTAGTTACTCCACACGGTATTTCAATCATAATTCTGAAGAATCCAATTTTTCAAAATTTCTATATCAACTTTATTTTCAAATTTTCACAAGCCCCTCACGACCAAAAATACAGAAGGAAGAGATTAAAATGAAACAGCTATAGGAGTTAGAGAAAGCCTCTTCAGAGAAAAACCTGGACCCATGAAGGCAAATGAAAAATAAAATAAGCAACCACTTGATCTTCTTGATGTAATTCTGTCCCTACATCCTTGCTATTTGACATTCTGTTGCCTTTATACCGTAAAATCTCGAGTATAATGCACACTTTTATCCTGTTTTTTTTTTTTTTTTTAAGAGTTAAAGCCAGGGCGCGCATTATCCATAGTTTTTTTTTTTTTTTTTTTTAAGAGTTAAAGCCAGGGCGTGCATTATCCATAGTTTTTTTTTTTTTAAAGTTTTCATTTGGTGGTTCCGTGGCAATTAACCTCTGGTGTCCTGCGATTAATTAAGGTGATTTTTATTAGCATTGACAAGCAACTATATAGACAGTTTCAAAAAGGTAAGTTAAACAAATGAAATCAATACTGCAGCGCAAACAAGCAAATAAGTTAAACAAATGAAATCAATACTGCAGTGCAAACAAGCAAATACCAAAAGCGGCGAGGAGTCCTGTGGCACCTTATAGACTAACTGAAGTGTTGGAGCATAAGATTTTGTGGGCAAAGACCCACTTCATCAGATGCATGTAGTGGAAATTTCCAGAGGCAGGTTTAAATATGCAGGCCAGAATCAGGCTGGAGATGACGAGGTGGATCCAATCAGGGAGGATGAGGCCCACTTCTAGTCGCTGATCTGGAGGTGTGAATTCCAAGAGAGGAGAAGCTGCGTTTGTAGTTAGCGAGCACAGTCTTTGTTTAATCCAGAGTTGATTGTGTCAAACTTGAAGATGAACTGTAGCTCAGCAGTTTCTCTTTGAAGTCTGGTCCTGAAGTTTTTTTGCTGCAGGATGGCTACCTTTAGATCTGCAATTGTGTGTCCAGGGAGATTGAAGTGCTCCCCTACAGGTTTTTGTATGTTGCCATTCCTAATATCTGATTTGTGTCCATTACCAGTATGTTAATTGATCGTCTATTCATCTTCGAAGTCAACCTCGGCTGATTCATCGTCGCTCAGATCCATCCACAGGGCATCATCCTCACTGCCATCCATAGCATTAGAGATGCTGCATTTCAGAAACCCTTTCCTTATCATAGCGGGATCAAGTTCAAGCCAGACATCCGCTATCCACTGGGTAATATCTTGCAGTGTTGGTGTTTGCATACATCTACCTGCAGTAAATGTATGTTCACCTTCCAACAACCAGGGGTTCCATTTCCTGCATAGTGCATCTTTCATTGGCTTGTTAATGGTCACGTCAAGCAGCTGCAACATTTTGGTCATTCCACCAGGAATAATTGCCAAGTCTGTTTTGTACTGCTGAAGCCTTTTCTTGACGGATGGCATACGATGACACCGAAATGCATCCAAAACTATTAGAGATCGCTTTCTCATAAGTCCACCCAGCCACTTCGCCCAAACCATCCGTAGCCAATCAAGCATTAAAGCTTCATCAATCCAGCCTTTAGGGTGAACACGCATGTGAATGGTGTTCGGGAAGATTACATTCCTTGGCATTGTCTTGCGCTTAAACACAATGTAAGGAGGCAGCTTCGTTCCGTCGGCCATGCAAGCAAGCATTACGGTAAATCTAGACTTTTCATGGCCTGTGGTAGCAATGGAGATGATCTTGGCACCTTTCAGTTCAAGTGTTCTGTCGTAGGGATTATCAATTTAATGGTGTCTGATCTGCGTTACCAATTAATGAAAGGTCTGCTTCTGCAGCTTTATGATAAACTTTTGGAGCTGCAGTAACTTGGTGTCTGAGTCCATGAGTAGCTTCGGTGCGATTGTTGTTTGGCATCGGACCGATAGGCTATGACGATTCATAAACCGATCGCCCCAGCCATATGAAGCTTTAAACCTGGCTGTGTTAGCGCACGTTTTGGCAATGATCAAAGCCTTCATTCTAACCTCAGCAATGCTAACACCACCGCCTTGCTGTCTACACTCAGTAATCCATTCAACCAGCTTGGCCTCCAACTCAGGATATGCAGCGTTTTTACCTCGCTCAGCCATCTTCATCCTAGGCAGTGCTTGCAGGCGCTCTTTCTGCCGTCTCCAAAGCCAAATGTTAGACTCTGCTATGTCATCATATTCACGGCTGGCAGCTCTGTTGCCATGAGCCTCAGCATAGTTAACAACTTTCAGTTTTTCAGCGGTCGTGTAAGATCGCCAACAACTCATGGCATCCCAAAGAGAGCATGGAACACCGCGCACTATATACTTGTGCGCTCATGCATGATTACCCGGCAATACAAAAAGGCAAGACAAAATATGGCAAAGTTGGGGTGCGCGCTATAGATAAGAGTTCAGTTTATTCAGGGTTTCTGATGTTTAAAAGGTAAGTGCACATTATGCATAGGTGCGCATTATACTTGAGATTTTACAGTAGTTTAAATTGGACATTGCACAAGTCAAGTTTTCAGATCATCCATCTGTGTCTTGACTTGTTTGCCAAAGGCAGTACATGCCAGTTTGTAAAAATTTATTTCCATTTTCCTTTTGCATCTATTTTTGTAATGTACGGTTACTGCAGTAATCTCTTGTGCAAATATGGACATGGCTTTTTTTTAATATTCTAAGGTATTTCAAAGCTTGTTTTGCTGGCATATTGCCATTTCTTGGCTGCTTCATTCAACCTCCTGGCAAAGATTCCACCTGAGGCGTAGCTATTGAAGTGACAACCCCAAGTGTGTCATTGTAACTTAACTGCACACACGCTCATGAAAGGCAGTTTTGAAAGTGCTCTGTTGTGGCCACCAAGCTGTTCAAACTTGTTTTGTTGCTCTTTTGGAAACCAAGAATGGAATGCCAGTGTGCACATTACACAATCTGGAACAGCAACACCTGCATATGCCAGAAATGACCTTCTCCACTCCACCAAAACCCATTTGATGAGTTAGTACAACAGGGGCTTTAGAAGATACAATAAGGATAGATCATCAAATTACCTCTAATAATAGGTCTACAGCATCCACTTGAATCTCACGCAGGCCAACTATTTGTACAACATGCTTACTATCTTCTCTTGCAAAAAGTCTGCAGTGGAAACAGAGTTTAGTAAGAAAGGGTAATTCTAAAGACAGCTTTATACAGTAATGATTCTGCCTACACAGTGCTATGTAATGGTACTCAAACTTTTTCAGTCACGCCGCCCACTTAACGGTAATGGAATCTGTCTGTGCCCCCTCCAAGACTGCACAGCCAATGCCTTCTCAGCAGAGGAGCTTGGGGTGAAGGCAGAAGTGTGTGTGTGTGTGTGTGTGTGTGTGTGTGTGTGTAAGTAAGTAACTGGGAATGGGGTAGGAACTTGAATTAGAGACAGAAGTGCTCTGGGGACATACAGGAAATGAAGGCAGACTGGGCTGAGGCTGGAGCAGGGGATAGAGTGGACCTGTGGCTGGAGCTGGTCTGGGGGTGGAAATGGAGTGAGGACAGAGCTGGACCTGGAGGCAGAACAGGGTTGGAAACAGTGCTGGTCTGGAAGCGTGGCACTCCCTTTCTGCCCACTGTGGCAGCTGGCCCCACAGTTTGAAAACCACTGCTCTAGAGAAGAACTGCGATGAATGATTAGCAAAGCTACACTTCAGGCTGTCATTAACATACCATCTGTGATGTATAATTCATTTTTCAAAATTCACTGTTAAAGGGTCATTGGTAGTGCACCATTGGAGGGAGGGATAGCTCAGTGGTTTGAGCACTGGCCTGCTAAACCCAGGATTATGAATTCAATCCTCAAGGGGGCCACTTAGGGATCTGGGACAAATCAGTCAGGGATGATACTTGGTCCTGCCGTGAGGGCAGGAGACTGGACTTGATGACCTCTCAAGGTCCCTTCCAGCTCTATGAGATAGGTATAGCATGCACACATGCTCTCTCTCTCTATATATATATTTAAATTTTATCTGGATGCTCCTCCATTTTAAAATGGATCAGCACTGAAATAATTAACGATGGCATTTAAATTGTCATCTTTAGATTTCAGAGATCACACCTCTCTTACAGCTTTTGTTTCAGGCTGGCTCCAGCATCAGGAAGATCACATTTCACGACTTCTACTCCTGACCATCTTGAGTTGTTTTGATTTTCCTTGGGTTTAGTGCTACTGTACAGCACCCAGACACTTTTGCTACAGAATTATTAATATCCACATTCTAAGTCACACCCCTCTTCAGAAAAGAGATTAGTAAATAGCCATATTAGGGAGTCGGGGGTCCCTCTGCACTTCCAGGGTTGGAAGAAGACTGAGGAGAAGTTTGCATTTTTTCCTGATGGGACACCTATCAATAATTTATTCTGCTTATCTTCAACTACTCTGTACTAGTCAACTACTCCTAGACTGTGTAAAGTTCCAGTTCTGTCTCCAGTTATCTTGCTAAAGAAAAGTGAAAAGCTAATGTGACTGTGCCATAGGATACTGTCTTATCACTATCCATCACAAGAGGCGGAGCCTGGAGGAGCACATATAATATAGAGCTCATATCTCAGATGTGTGTCTTAGCTTCATTTATTTTATTCATGTAGAAATAAACACGGGAGGGTGTATCTATTGATGTTACAAAATGTAGGGTGAGATTCTATCATGCCTACTCCCATTGAGCAATCCAACTACATAATGAAATAACACTGATTTATCATCCTTTTTAACAGAAATGTGTCTTATTTAAATACCTTCTCCTTCCATTTAGCAGATCATAAAGCTGTCCACAGTAGATCTCATAAAAACTGATCCATACATGGAGCTCTCTCCTTGATTGGGATGCCTCTAGTTGTCTAAAGATGTCTTTAGCAGCCAGTGCATACAGTCCTGGATTCTGGTGACTCCCTATCATAGTGTAGGTCTTACCAGCACCTGTCTGTCCATATGCAAAGCAAGTGGCGTTGCCTCTGTAAAGATTTTTTTTTTAAATGTTTAGTACCACATCCAATGCATTGGAGATCTATTAAAAGAGATTCTACAATATTAACATCTACACATACTGCTGATCCTCAGCGATGGGACTTTATCATGCATATCCTTCTGGGATCCTGAAAAATATAATCCTTTGTATCAGAAATTCCCAAATCGTGCTGGAGAGTGGAGTAGAACCACAGTGCTGGCTCTTGTCCTTGTTTCCAGATGCATAAATCATATTAAAAGAAACTAAAAATGCATTAAAATACTTTTGCAGTATTACTTTTCCATGTAAACAATTGTAGCTCCCATAGGGATGTTATGGGATTATGAATGGGGGAAGGGATTGATTGTGAATGGAAGGCGAGAGGGTCTGCATGATTATGAAAGCAAGGAGTAGGCTGTCCATGAAGCTACTCCTATAGTAACATGGTCCATTCAATGAAAAAAGCGTAACAAACCCAGCACAACACTTTGCACGTTGAAGTTTGTTTACGTCAGTTGCTGTAGTTTTATCTATGGGGGTGTCACTTTAATCTTATCTGAACAAAGTCCATAAAATGCAAATTCATTATCTGTAACTTGTACTATCCAGCAGGTTACTCTCCCTTCTTAGATTTCCCTTCCCTTTCCCCCAAGCGCCTGATTCATGAAAACCCCACAATGAGAAAACTGGAGGTAGAATTCTTGCCCAACTGATTAAGCTTTCTGTTATCAGTCCTGTGGCACCTTATAGACTAACTGAAGTGTAGGAGCATAAGCTTTCGTGAGCAAACACCCACTTCGTCAGATGCATGCCCACGAAAGCTTATGCTCCTACACTTCAGTTAGTCTATAAGGTGCCACAGGACTCCTCGCCGCTTTTGCAGATTCAGACTAACATGGCTACCCCTCTGATACTTGTTATCAAGACGCATGCCAAGTGTCATCTGGTTAATTTTTCTTGTTATTGATAAAAGTTTACAATTCCTTTATATTACTGTGAGCTATATAAGTACATCTCAGAGTGCTTTACAAACATTCTCACAACTGACCCATGAAGGTTTTTTATTTCCCTTTCAAGGATGGGCAAACTGAACAACTGAGTTCTGTGTGACTTACTCTAAATCACAAGGAAGTCCGACAGAGCAGAGAATTGGGATCCTGGAATCCTAACACCAAATCTCTCATTCTAATTAGAGCAAATCTCTCATTCTAATTACTCCCTAGTAATCCTTGGTGTCTGACTGTGCGCTCCTTCTGCAGACAAATCTCCCATGAAACACAGGGGGAGTTTTGCCTAAATAAGGACTTCAGGTTAAGGCCCTTAGCTTGTCAAAATTGCATACACAGACATTTTTCTATATTTTGTACACACACTTCAAAAAAGCAGGATAGAGTGGAAAAAGTGAAATTAATGTTTTTTAGAGGAAAACTTAAAAGTTACAAACCAAAGTCGTACATGAAAAATGAAAATGAAAAGGATAAAAGGAATTAATGGCACCCTACCCGTTAAAAATGTGCTGTATGAGAGGATGAGCAGTCTTCATATACACATCCTGATTGGTACATGCCTCCCCAAAGACTTCATCAAAATAAAAAACATGCTGAAAAATAAATGTGATTTTTTTTTTTTAAACACAAAAAGGAATTTACCCCATAATGTGTAGCACATGCTGTGGCCCTGGACCAATGCTAATTAAAGTCAACAGAAGTCTTGCCACTGACTTCAGGAGGCTTTGAAGGGGGGTCCAGAGTGACCAGGTAAAACTCACTTTTTAGCAGCATGCAGCTACAACCCGCCAAGAAACAAAACATGCAAAGAGAAAATTAAGAGCAGATTCTGTGTCTCCTACCACTACCTTTATCTTCAAGCAGAATGTATAGCAGCCATAAGAAACAAAAGCAAGAGAGTGACTTAAAAAGAAAATTAATCTATTCCTAAAATGAACTGACCTACAGCAACACAATATGATTATATAGCAGACAGGATCAAAATCAGGTATGATCTTCAATTCCAGTGCAGTCTACAGTATCTATGCCACACACGTACTATGCTATGTGCTAGAGAGGACCAAAGTATTTGAATGCAAAACTGGATTTTACTCTCTGAGAAGGAGAACAATTCCTGCACGTAGGGCCAGCCGGATCCAAAGCCCACTGGAGTCTATGAAAAGATATTTGTTGATTTCAACAGGGTTTGGATCAGCCCCTTACAGATTTTAATATTTTGCTTATTGGGACAGCATAATAAGACACTTGTCTCACTTCAGTGAAAGTCCCAGTGGGACAGCTTCTATAACAATATACCTCAGTATAGTACAAACAAAACAGTGCTGGACAATCTCAAAGAGAAGTGTTGCAGAACTGAGGACAACATGAAGTATGCATAAATGATCCATACAAACATACATGCAAATCTAAAACAGTTTTAGTAATGCTATGGAATATTTCTACTTGCACTACAGAAGTTTATATCAAGATTTGTTTTGATAGTATTGCCAGAATATAATTTAATTGGGGAGCTTTATTCCAGCATTTAGTTGCCAAGGCAAAAGTTGCTATATAAAGGCCTAAGATCGCCTACATGGAGACTGAGGGGGAAGTATCTGACTGTACAAGGCGTTATATGAATGGGGCCTGAGAAAGTAAGCAAAGTTAATTTTATGACCCTGAACAGGTGTTGCCAGTCCTTGGATTATAAAAATAACACACAGTAAGGCCAGCATATCTTGCTGCTCTCTAGAAATCAGTTCTGTTCTTGGTGCTGTCAGTCAGAATGAGAATTTGAACTATGGCAGCACAAGGTGCCCAGGATTTAGAAACAAAGACCAAATGAGAACTGCACTTTGTAAAGTATTTGCCTGCAGCGAGAGGGAAGACTAGAAAAGAAGGAGAGGGGTGTGTGTGACTCATTAAAATAGAATTGCTGCGCTGAAGTCCAGTGGAAAGTGGCAACAGGGAACTAAGCGGGCAACAGCATTCTATCCCTGCTTTTGGCAAAGGATCCTCTTTTGGCACCCAAGCCTCAGAAAAGGAATCCTCAGGTTTTAAGGAGCAAGGTAGACAGGGAGCAAATTATAGTTTAAAAACAATTTATTGGGAATTAAATTTTCAGACTCAATTCTCCTCTCACATATAGATGTAAATCAGGAGTGATTCCAATGGATTTATATGGGGGTGAGAGAAGAACACAGACTTTTGTGCTAAATGTGAAGAAGAAAGATAGATCTTTTTTCTATTTCCATTATTGACACCCCAAGTCTGTTTTCATTTGATACTGGACTGGTAATGCATTACACTGTCACTCCACCACAAGCACACTACAGGTTGCATTTCTATAAATTGGGACTCTCTGGTCTGGCAACATCCGTGGTCAGATGTTCCAGGATCAGAGAGTCCTAGCACACTGTGGGAGATGGGGGGCCTTGGGAGCCTGGCATTATGCAGGACAGAGGATGTGGGAGTCCAGCATGTGACCCAATTGAGCTGCTTGCAAGAGCCAGGAAGCCCAGTGGGGCGGCAGGGCAGGGAATGCGGCCAGAAATAACCTTCACTGGTTTGGTAAAATCCCTCATCCGGGACCAATCAGGTCCCCAGGGTGCTGGACCAGGAAGGTCCAACCTGTACTATGTATTTTAAATGGAAAGAGGTTCTAAGAGCAAAATGAGCACAAATTACCTGCAAAACATACTGGGTAAGATCAACTGCCTCCTTCTTCTCATGGAGAAGAAGAGTTTCTTTATCTTCCACTGTGATGATATTAACTTCCCCTCGCCGCTCCTCTCTCAGGCCCAGCGGGCGTTTTCGGACACATACTCGGATTTTGTCAGTCGCTGTCCATGGCATCTCCTTCTCAAAGGTATTAGATCTAGAACACAGAATCACAAATTTATGTTTTGAAAAAAAAAAAAAAAAAAAAGGATGCTAGACAATTTAAAATATTCATGGACTTGGCCATAAACGCAAGTGTTAACTGTTACGGTATGTCTACACTGCACGCTTATTTCAAAATAAGCTATTCCAGAATAGTTATTCCAAAATAGCTTATTTTGAAACAGCATGTCTATACTACAGGGAAGCCTCAAAATTAGTCCAAGGCAGGCTTCCCTAATGTAGACATACTGTCTTGATTTAGAGCCCTAGGAAGCACCGGGGAGGAATAACTTAGAAAGGTCCTGGTGAGGGACTATTTCGAAATAGCAGCAGTGGAGCATCTACACACACTTTATTTCGAAATAGCTATTTCGGAGTAGGCGTTATTTCTCATAGAATGAGGCACACAGATTTTGGAATAAGTTGTCCATTATTTCGAAATTATGGAATGGCTGTGTAGCTGCTCACATTGTTATTTCAAAATAACGCTAGCTATGTTGAAATAACGGTGCAGTGTAGATGTACCCTTACTATTCAGTGAAGACAGCTGTTTCTCTCATTTTGCAAGATCTCCAAGAATTGGGTATTATAAATGTGACTGTTTCTATAGTTTCGATTATTTTGATGCAATTATTTTGTGTACTTTTGTTAAAGTGACAGCATTGA